CACCAGATGGAAAACTCTACAGACTGTTGGTTCACACCCCATCACAAGCCAGCAAAACATCCACGAAACAAAGAAAGGTCGGTCACAGCCAAAAAATACACTCCAGACACGCCGCTGGCACTAGAGGCACAGCATGGCCGCCTAGTAATGGCCCTGACCACTGCCGCTTGACCTGACCAGGAAAAACCGTAGCAGGAAGCTAGCGAAGTCGTAGCATATATCGTCACAAACAGAACTGCCCGGTAAACCATAGGCAGAGAGAGAGAAGAGGACAACAAGGCAGAGAGGGAGGGAGAGGAGGACAACAAACGAGGGGCTGTGGCAAACTGTTTCGTCGGTGAACTCATCAGGAGGCTGAACCCTTAACAGTCTGCAGAATCCCCTCACTGATTACACTGTAAGTGATAATCCACCTTAATGCCGGCTGTGGTTAAGCATCACGGACTGCCCGACAACTGATATATATGGTTAGTTAGAAAGCTGTCTCTGCTAACTCGAAATAGCGCTCTCTGTGATTCACTTCCAGTCCCAAGTCCCAAGTTCCCGAGTACAAAGTGAGCTCACTGCGCTGAAGGGCTCTTGACGTCACCATCGGCGGTTGCGGTCGCCTGTCGCTGTCTGATGGTGGAAGTTGATGGCTGCAGTTGACTGGCGCAATCTCTTTTCTTTGTTGTTGTTGTTGTTGTTGTTGTTGTTGTTGTTGTTGTTGTTGTTTTTTATGGGAACGAAGCTCCAATCTATTCGTGGGGAGCAGCACGTGCTGGGAACCGGGCCCAGCATCCCAATCTCGTAAAGGCATGCGGACAAATTCGTGGTTTAAAGTTTAAACTCTATTATTAATTAAACATCTATAAGTTAAACCACACAAGTGCATACGGGCCGATTTCGAACTGAAGAAAAGTTTCGATTTTGAACTGAAGAAAAGTTTCCCAATCGAGTACATATATCCAACCAGCTGCAGGCAGGCAGGCAGGCTGGTACGTAGAAAGTGGCAGCCAAGCGTTCACGGGCGGAAGTCTCAGGAGGTAGAGTCCTTGCACTCGTGGCTTAAGTGCCAAGCCCAAAGTACAAGAGTGTCTCGACTCAGTCTCAAGTCCCAAGACTGCTCTCGACTTTGTAGGTCCCTCGCTCCCAACTGTGGTTTTCAACCCCAGCAGTAAGTTTCCCACCCGTATTTCTAAGATGTGAGCACAAAAAAAAAAAAGAAAAAAAAAAAAAAAAA